ATATGTGATAGGCAGGATTTTAGTTGGGGGAGTGGTAGGGGAGGATGGGAGGGAGAAGGGAACTGGGATTGTCATGTAATTCAATCTTATTTGTAATTCAAATATATAAAAAAATTATAAAAGAAGAAGGAAAGCCTACCATTTGTGACAATAATGAACCTAGAGGACATTATCCTAGATGAAATAATATAGACACAGAAAGATGAGCAATATGAGCTCAGCTATGTGTGAAATGTTAGAAGCAGAGAGGTGGTGGGGACCACCAGGGGCTGGCAGTAGGTGAATGGGGAGGTATTGGTCATAGGGTATCAACTTTTACATACGAAGTAGATGAATTCTAGGGACCTAATACACAGTTATAACTAATGACATCAGGCATTCCAAACCTGATGAGAGAATAGATGTGTTTTCATCACACACACACACACACACACACACACACACACACACACACCACGCATAGGTATACATATTCCTATGTCTACACAGACTTACACACATACAAAAATGCTAACTGTAGTGAAAGACATACTCATTAACTCTACATAATGTCATTTCACAGTGAATATCAAATAATCACACGTGTCTTAAATTCAGGCTCTGTTCTCATCAGTTGCACCTCAACAGAGCTTTCCTGCAAAGGGGAGGAGGGGAATAAGGTTAAGAAGCAAGCAGGAAAATCTCTAATGCTGCAAAAATGTGGGAACATCAGATGCAAAATGTGTTTCGTTTTTCAAAATGTTGCCCTCCCCATCCTACACACTTCCCCTGTAAGTTACTCCAGGTTTGACATCTCAGACTGGATCAGAGGCATCACCTCTCGAACTCAGGTTTCCCCGGAGCCGTTAGAGCAGATAGCCAAGTCAGTGGTTTGCACTCAATAGAATTTTAACAGCAAAAGCCCACACCCAAGCGAATGTGTGCTATAAATTACATGGAAGTTGTCCCCCCCTTTAAATGAGCACACGTGTTCTCCCCAACAGCACACATGTGCTGTTCCCAGCTGCCCCAGGCAGTGATTAGAAATCAGCCTTGTCCCTGAGCCCAGGTGTACAGCACCAGGCATTCTGGGATTCCAACAAGCCGAGCACTTCATAGTGTGGCACCTTTAGGGAGTCATGAAAGCACCATCTTGCAATTCTGTTCCTTGTTAGTGTTTTTGCCTTGAGGGTAGAAAACCGTGAAGCTAACGGATAGGCCACATGTGTTAAATGTAGGTCTCATGCTCTCTGCCTTGGGAAATGAGTGCTTTTCTTCAAAGGGTTTATTAAGGTAAGTGGAGCCTGAGGGTGCAGCTCATGGGAGGGACACTTGGCTTGCTTAGCTAGGTGTGGCAGCATAAGGAAAAAGAGTAAGTGACGTTTATTAGTATTAGGTAATAATGTGTTTGTTACACCTGTGAAAGTGGTAAATACAAGAAAGCATAGCCAGTTTTTGTTTTGTATTGTTTTTGGTCAAATTTTTAAATCTTACCCTGCATTTTAGAAGAACTCTCAGAGGAAAGCTCATTTGGTTCTTCAAAAGCTTCCAGGTCTTGCTAACTTTGACTAACAGAGCAACCTTTCTCATACTGATTACTCTCCACCGACATTGTAGAGTTTCCCTCCTGAAGCACTTTACAGAAAGGCTGCAGAATGAGGCATCTGGGGTTTGGACTCCAGGGGCTGCTGGGAAGTACTTTTGCTAACCCAGGAACCTGCCTGAGATGATTGCCTTCTGAGAGTCATCTGATGAAGCCCCTGGCTTCCCAGACACCCTGAACAATCTCACTGACAATAAAACCACACTTTTTTTTTTTTTATAAAAAAGAAGAAGAAGAAAAGAACACAGGTTTTGGAGGCCCATAGACCCAGATTCTGCTGTATTTCCTTTGTGTCTGCAGTGATCTTGGATGACATGAAATTACTGATGGCTGGGAGAACATGGTCAGGAAAGAAACTGTCAGCTGAACAGAGTCCTGCCGTGGCTCTAGACAGCATCTTCCCTTTGCTCATTAGCAAATTATTCTAAAAATGATTTGATTTTACATCATCTAATTACCCTTCCAAGTGTCCTCCTTTGCTTTCTCCTGTCTCTATAAGCTTTAACTCCCTTAGGTGAAAAGTGAGGATGGTAGAACCCACCTTACCTTGTTGAGAAGATCACACCTGGCTTGGGGTAACCTCCCTGACTGCTGCTAAACACACACACACACACACACACACACACACACACACACACACACACACACTCATACACAGATTTCCTCTTTCTTCCTCCCAGCCTTACTCCAGCTTTTCCTTCTGCCTGGATGTTCTTCCTTGCTTGGCAATCCACACTCAAATTAGAAGCCATCTCGCCTCAATAGTCTCTAACCACACTGTACCCAAGAAGACTCTTAGGCATTCTGGCAGTAGTCTGTCGTGGCAACTAGCATAGTTTTTACAGTAATTGTGTATTTGTTTATCTGTCTCCTTTTCCTAGTCTGTTCCTAAGAATTGAGGCCTTATTCTTCAGTCATGATTACTACCCTAGGATCTGTGGTGCCAGGTACAATAATAAATGTTCAATGAATGTTTGTTAAATAAATAATATGTAAAACTCCTAGAAGCTGCTCAACAAACATTTGTTATATCAATAATGTATGTGGTGCTCTGACAAGAATGCTAACACACGGGAGAAGCTTAACATTAAGGGTTGTGATTGTGGGATGGCAGGACATCGAAAGGCCACTTCCAGAGGTGACCTGAACAATTGCCACACGATTCAAAATATCATGCTGCATCTTTAATGCAGCATTAATTAAATCTATGGTAAACAAACAGTGGGCATTTGGGAAACTGTTGTTGTCCAAACTTCTGCTTATTTTGAAGTTCAAGGTAGAGGGGTCTTGGTATCTTTTCTAAGTTCTTTTTCTCCAAAGGATAACACGTGGGTATGCCTTGTCCTGCAAGAGAGCTATGTGTAGCCGTCAGCGCTATTGCCATGGTCATCTTTTGCACTTCCCAGTGCTACCCCCACATCCCTCATTCACCGTCCTACATGCCTCTGCCTCAAGTTACTTGACATCTCTCTTACATAGGATGTAAGCCATCAGCTCTCAATCTCATGCTCTCACGAAGCTGTCAGAACAGATGCCCGGGACAGAGGTTTGCACTCCGTAGAGCTCTCACAGGGAAAGTCTGCACACAGCGTGGGCCACTAACTGTCTCTCTGACAGATGAAAATCTGAGGCCCGGAGAAACTGACCAGCATGGGATTATACACAATACTCTTGGAAAGGGATGTCCGAGGAGAAATAGCCGTGTCCATGCTCCCTCTCCCACTGTTCTCAGAGTGCGTCATGCGCACTGTTAAGATGGTTTGCCGTCTACATTTCGAGGGCAAATGAGATGTGAGGATCTGAAATACGACATGGCGTGGTCAAGTTTCACCAGTGTTTGCTTTGGGGGGAACCTAAGTTAAAAGCTTTATTTGGGCTTTTTTTCTTTATTACTTTTTAAAATCATATTTATTTGTGTATGTCCGTGTGTGCACACTACGTGGGTCCTGGGCATCGAACCTGGGTCATCAGGCTTAGCAGCATGTGCCTTTATCTACTTGTGCCATCCCACTGATCCCAGAAAGGTTTTTTTCTTGGTAACTGACTATAGCAGTCAGAGAATGTCAGTCGTAGGCACACCCTCTCTGGGTAGTGCCACCCTCTGTAAGGGCACAAAATGGCCAGGTCCCTATTTCATGTCATTTAACCTCACCAAGCTATAGTTAACTACTATTAAATTAATTCTGTGTTCTCATAGGGTAACATCTACCTTCTATCTGCTTCCCCAGAGTACCACTGTTAATCCTAAACGTACCTGACAAACACTCAAAATGCACAGCTACTGTAGAGTGTGGGTCACACTGATGAGCATTGGGTAGCATGAGAACCAGACAGCGATGTTAAAGGCTCTCTCAGGGGGTAGAATTCCATACAGTGGGATAGTGAAATGAAGACAGAAGGGAAGGAGAGTAGGAAGGAAGTGGAATCTCTAGAGGTCCTGATTTAGTCCTGGCCAACTGCTCTCCCTGTACTCTGAAGCTACTACCCCTGTCCAACACTTCCATTCCATGGCTTGGACATTTTGCTGCAGGGGCTGTCAAAACCCAAACTCATGTTCTGGCTGTGTGTGTGTCTGCAGTGTCCACACAAGCAGCAGTAGCTAGTCCTGAGCACCCTCCCTGCATCTAGACTGAGTAATTCAACTTGAGATTTCAAGCAAATCGGATGAACACCCATAAACTAGGATGATAAGTACTTCCTGTAGAGAGGAACTAATTAGCAATTATAATAATGAGAGAGCGGTCCAAATGACACCCATGTTTATGTAGTAAATCATTTGAGGTGAGCCACCGATGCCACTTGAGGATTCTCCTTCTGGCTTAATGAGGAAAGAAAGCCACAGGTTTGTCATATGCAGCAAACAGGGCTAAGCAACAAAGACTTGCTAGAGGAGGGGATATCCGAAAAGAGTTATGGCTTTAGGTATGAAATGTGTGGGGGACTCCTGGAAGGGAAGTACCAACCTCAGTGGCCTTCTGGGCACCTGCTCACCCAATGCCTGTGTGGTTTGGCTATCAGACTAGACCCTTGATTCTGCCCTGGGATTTCCACAGTAATATGCTTTTTATTTTTCTAATGATTGTTAGGTTGAAGACTGTCTGGATGCTCCTTCCTCTCTCCCAGAAATTGAGTCACACACCTCTACAGCTGTCTCCAGAGAGCTGAAAAGCAATGGGTGCTGTGACCCTGCAGCTCTCACTGAACTGGGTCATCTCCTCTTTCACTGCTGCAAGCAAAGCCTGCCTACCTCCATACTGCTCAGAGCCAAGATCTGGAGTTATAGCTAGATTTCTGTTATTGTTGAGACAGGGTCTCTCTATGTAGTCCTGGAGCTCACTATAGAAACCAGGATGGCCTGGGACTCATGGAGACATTTTTGCTTCTGCCTCCCAAGTGCTGGGATTTAAGGTTTGTACTACCATGCCCAGCCATAGCTAGACTTTTTCCAGTCCCTTTCTAACTTCTAGTATGTAGACAGGGGTCACATGGTATGGAACTTGCCCTGCTGAAAGCCAATAAAAGCAAGCAACCCTTCTGATTCCTTATAAATAAAGGGTCAGACTCTCCTTTCCAGGGAGTGGCTCAAAGCTCCAATTCTTCTAATCTCAGGGACACCAAGTGGCATTGAAAGCACTTTTTCTTCAGGACCCTATCATGCTACCCATGATGACTATCTCCACTAATGAAGCTGTTCCTGAGACCTGAAGACCTGCTCTCCCACTCCAGGCCAGGATGCTATAACTCTACCGATAAAACTCATATGTAGGGTAAATGTACTCAGTTTCCCTTCTACACCTACAAGACTTGCATACGTAACAATGGTGGCTATTCTTCCCTGTGCCTTAGTAACTCTAGGTGTCCTGATAGACACTAGTTATTATAATTTTAAAGGATTGCATTTTCACAACATTAGGCTCATCATAATGGTTTCTTTACCTCTGGTAGAACTCCCCAAGCCTTTAGCACTAATATTCATAATGAATGCCACAGAGAAATTTGTGCTAGATTCAACCAATTGAATTTATGACTGTACTGGTCAAAAACAGTTGAGCAGTTAGGCATGGAGGCACACCTGTAATTCTAGCACCTGAGAGGCTGATGCAGGAAGGATTGCAAGTTCAAGGGTGGGCTGAGCTACACAGTAAGCCCTGTTTCAAACAAATCAGCAACTGAAACTCAAACAAGAACTCCTAGCCCTTGGCAGTTTCACATGGCCAATCCTGATGTCATTCAGAATTTCCAAACTGGTTTGACTATAGAACTCTTCTGGGGAAAACAGAGAAGTCACGCTGGGCAGTACTGTCTTGGGTACTATGTACAAACACTACCGAGAGCCCAAGTCATGCGTGTAACACCAACCCACATGATGCTCACATTCAGCTAGACACTGGGTTGAGTAGAATTGAAAGATTTCTTAAAAGCAGAAGGGGGTGGGGGGCTGGAGAGATGGCTCAGAGGTTAAGAACACTGGTGGCTCCTCCAGAGGTCCTGAGTTCAATTCCCAGCAACGACATGGTGGCTCACAACCATCTGTTATGAGATCTGGTGCCCTCTTCTGGTGTGCAGATATACATGGAAGCAGAACGTTGTATACATAATAAATAAATAAAATCTTAAAAAAAAAAAGCAGAAGGGGGAATCCCACCAAGCCTCAAGACCGACCAAGTTTCCAAGAAGATCAGTGTCAGGGTTTGGATCTAAGTGTCCTCCGCAGGGACATGTGTATGAACATGTGATCCACAGTTAGTTTTCTGTTTGGGGAGGCCTGAGGCCTGGCTGGGACTCACTGGGGAAGACCTTTAAAAGTTCTCTTCTTCATTTCCTTCAAGGTGTGGACATGCTACACTCTTAACCTCCCACCACCATGGACCAAGCTGTGCCAGCCATCATGCCTTCCATGCCATGATGGAACCATGAGCCAAAAATAAAGGTCTTCTTTAAGTTGCTTCCATCAAGAGCTTTGTCGGAGTGATGTCAAAAGTAACTAATACAAGTAGCCTAATACAGCATTTTCTAACTGGGTAGGAGTGCACAGACATATTACCATATAGGGTTATGACTGCTGCAGCACTAAGCAACAATTCTTTAATTGTACAACTGCTTCCAAGCTTAGTTTTAATAATGCAAACATTCATAGGAAAAGCAGACTATTAAAGGGTTCCACAGTATTAACAACTGTTTAAATTATTTGTAGTTGGCATTAAAAGGAAAGAAACAAAAAGGAAAATAGTCCCAATGATTAATCCATGATGACTTCAGTTTTTTTTTTCCTTTTCAATATTTCCTTAAATGTTGCAATTGTATTTCACAGTGAAGCAAAATTACACATTACATGGGATGGTAAAACACAGGTGCTACGAAGGGGGAAATGGGGAAAATGGGGGAGCGCTTTAAGTGGGGGGGGGAGGGAGGTTAATACAAACAGAGAGGGAAGAAGGAGAAATAAATAATACTAAGGATATTTTTAAAGCCACAGAGACATATTATTTTATAAGCTTGCTTCACACACACACACACACACACACACACACACACACACACACGAGTTATACACATGGGGTGATAATACTCCAACATCACAGACTAACAAAAACCCTAGTGCTAGGCATGAGAAACCTCCCTTTGATTCTTGGTCATGGAAGTCCAAGGGACTCAAAAAAAATATAGTCAGTTTGCATTGCCCTTGATGCCTTCCAGAAAAGAATTGAGGTCCTATCGCTGAAGATACCACATTCTTTGGACACAGGACTTGGAGGAATAGAGCTGGAACTAACCTGGAAGCCTCCTCTCTGAGGATTAGCTCTCATAGCATTAGAAAGTGCTAGGCAAGCTACCAAGGAAGAAAAGCAATCATTAGTCCTACCCAGATTTAAGGCCTATGGATTACAACAGTAGCCTACCCAGCAAGATATCTCCAAGGGTGCAATCATGACACCTTTATCTTGGGAGTAGCCAACAGCTATCTAAATGGACTTATGGCCCACTCAATAGGAAGGAATTCATGTGCAATACTGTAAATCCAACCAACCAATAGTTAAAAGTCATAGATCCTAGAGAAGAGCCTGTTACTTCCATTAGATATAACTTCTAACTGTATTCTAAATATTTATCCTTATACCTACAGATAAATGTAGCTCTATTCATCAAAGAAATAGCGTGTGTGTGTGTGTGTGTGTGTGTGTGTGTGTGTGTGTGTTGTGTATATGTGTGTGTGTGTGTGTGTGTAACAGGTGGAGACTTCTTCAGAGAGCCACAATTGCTCAAAATACAGAAGATAAATTATTCACTCAGTGTTTGAGTCCATACCAAACTATCCTCTGAGACAATCCTATTTCCATCTTTCCAAGTGGGAGAGAAATGTCAAAGAGAAGACTATGTTAAGACCTCCCAGTCTCCTTACTAATCTGGGCAGAGTTGAAAACCTCTGATGGCAAATTTGCCCATGAGATTGGGTTAAGAATACCAATGGTGCTAACAAAGCACACTTTTGGAAGTATTTATGAGTGTGTTTGTAGCGATGATTAACTGAAAGAGGTAAGACTGGCTTTTAATGTGGATGGCATCATCCCATGGGTTGGGCTCTTAGCCTGAATTAAAAAGGAGAAAGCTGGATGAGTACCAGCACTCTTCTCTCCCTACTCACTGGTGTACTGAGATGTGAGCTAGCCCTGGTATGTGTTCTTGCAGTCATGAAGCTACCTGCCATCATGCCTTCCTGACTGTGTTGAGTACCCATGCCTTCCTAACCGATTACCCATAGCTAAGGAAGTCGTTGATTCTAGAGAAGAGCCTATGACTTCCGTTTCCCTAAATCATTCAACATAATTTCTAACTGTAGCCTGAATACCTGTCCTTATACCCACAGATAAGTGCAGCTCTTGCTGCAGTGGACTCTGTTCCCTGGAGCCATGAGCCAGAATTAATCCTTCCTCCATTAAGCTGCTTCTTGTCAAAATCAGGTCGCAAAGATGAGAAAAGTCACTAGTAAAAGACCTAAAAGCAAGTTACCCTTTGAGCAGCTCTCTTCTCTCCTCACCCAGTAGAAACCTACCCACAGAGATTCCAAAACCTACAGGCATCCCAGCACAATGGCTTGTGTGTATGCATTTAAGCTGTGTATGCACATGTTTGTGTAAGATTGTGCACACACATTCATGCTAGTATGCAAGGCTGAAGTTAGTGTTGGGTGTCTTCCTCTATTGTCTTTCACCTGGTTCTTTGAGGCAGTGTATCTCACAGAACCTGGAGCTCGCAGCTTGGACAAGACCAGCTATAGGGACCGTCCCATCTCCACTTCCTCGGTGCTAGGATTACAGGCATGCACAGCCTTGCTTAGCTTTTAATGTGGGTGTTGGGTATCTGAGCTCAGATCCTTGTGCTTGTACAGCACACACTTTTCTCTCCGAGTTACCTTCTCAGCTGCCAAATATCCTTCCTCATGCCTGTAAGTCTTTTCTTTGACACAGCCACACTCTTTACATATGATGGTTAGCTGTCTCTGCAAGGCCTCAAACACTGAATCTTAATCCTTCAAAAGACTGTACATGTATAAGGGGAAGTGACAGCCGAGAGCCTTAGAGACAAATGCACGGTTTCAGCGAGCACTCGTTAGAGTTTTGTGGTTCATTTGGCACCTGGCTGGCATTCGTAAAGCTGTTGCCATGGAAAGCGTCTTCTTATTCGTACTCAGAACACTCACTGCTGCAGCAGTTGTAGGATGCTGGTGGATGAACTCGTCACTGTGCACAGGGTTCCTCTGCCCATGCCTTCAGGCAAAACCTGGCCTGTGGGACAGCCTCAACACAGTAGCTCCACAGGGCTGTTCAGAAAGGCCCAGCTAACTGAAGAAGGCCCTTTCTCCTCAGGCCTCAGTGGGGAATTTCTCCGCATAAAGGTTGTTCTGGAGGCCAGATTTCCCTCTCTCTACCCTGTCCACTCCTAGATGCAACCTAGGTCACATGTGCTAGATCAGCAGTGACTAACAAGCCCATCTCCCAAATTCCTTGTACACTGTCCTTGTGAGGGGACTGACTTAGCAAGCACCAGGCAGAGCGCCTCTACAGGGGAGTCCCACAGAGCTGGCCCCAAAGTGAAGGTGTCTGTGGCAGCAAGGGGACAAGGCTTTTGCTAAATTTCCACAGGCTTACATTAAAGATATTAGATGAAGGTCACCTGGCGTAAAGCCAATAGGAGGATAGCCAGGCTGTCCCATTGACTGTGGCTTCTCTTTAACTGAAAAGACAGTCATCTAGATGTGTTCTGCCTTCAAACAAAAGAATGAGGAGGAGATGGGAAATGGATTCTCTAGACAGGCAGAAGCTAAAATCAAAGACCAGCTTATTGCTTGGAGTAATTCCTCACCCGACTCTCCCTCCACAGGGTTTTCCATCAGGACCTGTCTGGAAATGTCCCAAACTTCAAGGACATTTGACTGAGGCTGATCTGGGGCCTACAGGATGCTCCTTCCCACATCACATAGTGCTTGCTTTAAAAGAATAAATATTTTTCTTGTTTTTTTTTTTTGAGAAAGGGTTCCAGCTGGCATTAAACTCGTGGTAGACCCCTGCTTTGGCCTCTCCAATACTGCGATTATAGGCATGAGCCACCATGCCTAGCCCAGCTTGCTATTTACTTTACTCACCCCACCCCAGCCTCCCACAGTCTAGTACTTTATGAAGGATATGTCAGCCACGGTAAAGAGTGATGGTCCCTGTGCTTGTTACATTCTGCTCCTGAAGCCTGAAGCCTTTTGACAAAGAAAATAATCCATCATCAAACACAGGACAGGAATGATGTGCTGGTCCTTGTGCCAGAGGTGAGTTCCCTGGCTACAGAATGTTAACTGCTATCACAAGTGTAGAGAGGCAGAGACTGGCTCCAAGTTCTGGTGCCTATGTCATGGTGAAGAAGGAAGGGGCAGGAAAGGAGACTGTGTTGTCATGGAAACCAAAGAAGGGGTGTTTCCAGGAGGTCACAGGGCATCTGCATTGAGAGCTGTTGTAAAGGCAAGTGAGAGAAGAAAGAAGCAAGTACTGGACGAGACAATGGGAGGTGACTAGAGGCCCTGACAGATACAATATCTTGGTCCAGTGTGGCTGGAAAATCCAACTGGGGCATCACAAATGAACAGAAAGTGGGAAGTGAGGGTTTAGTAAGTGCTTTATCAAGCTCAACTTGCATAATTCCCACACAGTCTTATAGTATTGGCCCTGAGATGACTCCATGGTCAAGAGCCCAGGCACAAAGAGGACAAGAAGTTCACCCAAGGCCACATAGCAAGAAAGTAGATTGCCTAGGAATGTGTAGGCAGGCCAGCTCCACTCTGTTCAGAACCCCCAGACACCAATCAGTCCAATCCTGGTAGAACAACCTTGCAATATGTTTGCTGAGGAGAGAAATAGCAAGATGGGGTGGGCAGCCAGAGCTGTTATGAGGCTGAAAGATGACAGTTTTTGTCTGTAAGATGGAAACTCCTGATGCCTGGTCTGTGTGCTGATTGGGGAACAGAGGTGCAGGGAAGATGGATGGTGACTAGAGGACGTGTGTATGAGCTGGGAGATGAGACAGTTGGGAGCGTGTGGAAATGACCTTTGATAGTGCCAGGCAAGTCTGCACCCAGATGTCTAGTCTGAGGTCAGAGAAAGGGCATCGGTGAATGTGGCAGCTGGGAAATGAGGTAAAGGAATGCCTGTCTTCGCATTGCCATTTTCTCAGTGAAGGATGAAGTCAGACGATTACCTGAGACCAAGGTGTTGAGAAGGCATGGGTTTGTCAGAGGACTGAAGGGAGACAAGAGATGAGGTTGTGGAACGACCATTCTGGGAGCGGAATGAGAAGAAAACACAACAAGGAATTAGGGCATCTAGATAAAAGGCGCCATTCGATGTCCCCAGGTATTACTGACGCTGTTTCTCAAGTCTTCTTTGCCTTTTATTCCATGATATTTTTCATTTTAAATCTACAGATAAAGAAAGGAAGCTTTTCTCCTGCTACTGTCATGCTGGGACTAGCAGAAATGTGGTGGAAATGGTGTCATTGTAAATCTTCAAGTATGCTAGGCTTGGAATTTCAAAAGGTAAATATAAAGGCAAATAGAACATGGGCTTTTTACCAGTGTGTTTGCCTTCATTCTTACCAAGGCCCATCCATTGCTCTTTTACACATTTGTTAAAGAGGAATGTGGCATTAACATCTCAGTGAAGTTTATGTCCATCTGGATTAAACCTCTGCCCTTTTGCTGGAGCATCACAGGCTCAAGTGGAACTGTTTTTGCATGGCTCTGTGAGCTGGAGTGGGTATCAGAGGCACCCAGAGGGACTATTGAGTGGGGATCACTCTGCCCACTCCAGTTCAGTAGACCTGAGGGGACTAAGAATGTGCTTATCCAACGGCTCCAAAGTGCTGCTGCTCAGGTCATACTTGGAATATTGGGGTGACTGTGGTAAGGTGTGTGGTTTCAAGTCCACCCAGTTCCACATCTCTAGGGGCAGAGTTCCCCTATGTCTCACAGAGCAAGGACTGAAAAGAAGGCATCTCTGATCCAGTGAAATCTGGAACATTCTAGACATATTCTTGGTTCTTTTGGGGATGGTCCCAATCCTCCCTCCACCCAAGTCACGGGTTTTCTCCAGAAAACATAGGGAGGGGACCATTCAGTAACATCAGGGACCCACTGAATGCCAATTCTACAAGATGTAGAAATCTGTCATCAGTGCCGTGGACTCTCCCATCAACCCTAAAGGCTGGGAAGCTATTGACACCCAATTTACTGGTGAAGAATAAGCACAAAGAGATTGAATAGTTAACTTAGGTCACACAGCAAGTGAATGGAGAGACTGACTGGTCCAACTAACTCTGTATTTTTGCATACATCAGGGGTAAACATGAATGAAACTTTGGATGCTCAGATACGAAGATACCTGACACTTGAGTAAAACAGTCTTCTTAGGGTAACACAGCTTTTATCTAAGGCCACTAGCATTATGGGACCTTGAAAATGTCCTTTTCTATGATTCTCTAACTGCACAACCTCGGAGAAGCTACATACTTTATTTTAGCTGTTGTCTGAGGCGGTCTATAGACACAAAGTCCAAGCTCTGAGCGTGCGCTTCTTTTTGCTATGCTTACCATCTGTGATAGTTTGAATGTAATTGACCCCATAATCTCACAGAAAGTGGTACTATTAGGAGGTGTAGCTGTGTTAGAGTGGGTTTGGCCTTGTTGGAAGAAGTGTGTCACTGTGGGAACAGGATTTGAGGTTTGTTGTGCTCAGGATACTACCCAGTGTCTCAATCTGCTTCCTGTTGCCTGAAAGATATAGGACTCTAAGCTACTTTTCCAGCACCATGTCTGCCTGCATGCTGCCATGCTTCCATCATGATAATAACAGCCTGAACCACTGAACTGTTAAGTGAGGCACCCCAATTAAATGTTTTCTTTAGAAGAGTTGCCATGATCATTGGTGTCTCTTCACAGCAATAGAAACCCTAAGATATCATCTAGAGAGCAACTACTGGAACAGTGGGGACCCAGCCAGGAGTCTTCTGTGGTGGCAATCACTGAGGAAGTGAGTTTTTGCCAGCACTGAGTTGGGTTCTGCTATAGTGGCAGGAGATGAAGCAAGTTGGTTAGAAGGAGAACTAACTTTGTAACTAACTAGAAAGCATAAGCTAGGAACCTGTGGGTTCCCAGCATGGGCTTTCGGAGGGGCAGTAATTGTGACTCAGTATTTGCATTTATGCAATGGAGATAATTAGGATAGTGAGGCAGTTAAACTAAGTGACCATGACTGAATGCATGGTCATTGGTCCACAGCCTTAACTGTGCTCTGGTGGGTGTTGCTTTGGTTGTGGCAGCCTGTATAAATGAAAGCCATGGACTTACTATACACTATGGATGGGACAGAGTACAAGCAGTTTAATCTCACAAGGCAACCCTCTTTTTAAAAAGTTACATAAACTATGATAAGTATATACATCTAAAAACAAGGACATTAAAAAAAATGCCTTGACATGTCTACATTACCTTTGTGGAAAAGACAAAGGCCCAGGAAATATAGACTCAGTTCTTTTCACATGACCAAAGATAATAAGACATATAAAATCAGGCATATCCCCTCACTGTACTTGTCTGCTTAAGATAGCTGTAAACATCATCTCATGTTTTTCTTGCTTTAATAGTAAAAAGAATTTGCACTACTTGAGCTCAAACACCTAGAAACCCGCGCATGTCTCCATACATCACATCTTTGGAATATCCTTCGAGCCTTGGAGACTTAGCCTTCCTGGTTGCAGGGTGGGTTGACACTTATTATCAACACTGTATTATCAGAAGGTGTAGATGCTGAGCTGTGCACACAGTGGGGCCTCCCAAACTCACCTGGAAGCCCCTCACCTCAGTGTCTGTCTGCTCAGTGGTGCACTCAGACACGGTTTCCTCAAATCTCATTCTCAAATGAGTCTCCTAGTCACAGACAGGTGTGAAAGGTGTGACCAATTTGACTTTTCTTTTTCTAAAAACAACAACAACAAAACTCTGTGGACAGAGTATTGTTAAAATGGACTGTCTTGGCTCAGTGGATAAGAGCACTTGTTATGAAAACAAAGGACCTGAATTCAAACCTCCAGCACATCCACATAAAAGCAAGGCATCGCCAGATGTGCCCATAATGCAAGAATTGGGGGACAGAGACAGGCGGATCTACCAGGAGCTCCCTGGCCAGCTAGCCTAGCAGGAAAAAAATGAGCCTTGGGCTCAGTAAGAGACTTTCCTATTCTCCATAGAAGGATACTCTCTCAGCCTAGACACACGGGGGAGGGCCTAGGCCCTGCCCCATAGGATGTGATAGACTTTGATGGTCCCCCTCACCCTCCCTGGGGAGCAGAAGGGGGATAAGGGGTTGGTGGGAGGCAGGGGAGGATGGGAGTGAGAGGGAACTGGGATTGATATGTAAAATAAGATCATTTCTAATTTAAATTTTTTTTTAAAAGGAGACTGTCCTAGTTTGCTGTCTATTGCTGTGATAAACCTCTTGACCTAAAGCGACTTGGCAGGCTGTAGTGGGATTATACACTGCAGTTTACAGTTTGCCTTAAAGGGAAGTGTGACAGGAACCTGGAGGCAAGAACTGAAGCAGAACCATCGAGGAACACTGCTTACTGACTTGCTCTTTGTGGCTTGCTCAGTTTGCTTTCTTATACAACTCAGGACCAAATTTGTTCAGGAGTGGCACCTCCCACATAATCATTAATCAAGAAGATGTCCCATAGACTTGCTTTGAGGCAACTTAATAAAGGCAATCCCATAACTGAGATTCCCTCTTCCTGGATGACTCTAGTGTATGTCAAGTTGACAAACAAATACCCTACTTCTAATCATGGATAACCAATGATATCATTTCTCAGCTTTTTGGCTAAGATCCAGTGTAAAAACTAAGATCAAAAGTAATAGAGAAAAATACCCAATGTCCTTTGGTCTCTGCATGCTCATGTGTGTGCATTTGAGTGTACACACACACACACACACACACACACACACACACACACTTGCTCTTTAAAAATCCTCAATGCCATCACTACAAGATCTGTTTCAAGGACAAAAAAAGTCAGCAGCCACAGAGCTGAAGATAGGTTTTTATAGCTAGCCAACCACGTAATGGACAGTATAGAGGAACTTGCATAAAATGAATATAGTAATGGATGGTATTTGTAGAACATTAGGATGTGTCAGGTCCATAATTATTACACAACCTGAGCAGTTGTTTACTGCCATCAGCCCTGGTTTACAGGTAGGGAAACTGACACTTATAGAGGATAAGTGTTCACAATTGTGCATGTTATCAGCCCAGGCAGTCTACAGCCAGAACTCAGACATGCATCTACAGGGATAACTGTTCCGCTCTGCCTGACAAAAATGATCATGTCAGATCCTTAGTGAGGAAAGTAGAAGCATCAGGAACATGTATGTATTCATAAGCAAGTCAGGCTGGGAATATAAAAGAGGCAATTAAGGTACTTAGAAAAAGCCAAAAGGGACTTCAAAGCTAAAGAGACACAGGATCTGGCGGCTGAAAAAAGTGAGAGTCACCGCAGTGGGCAGAAGTGGGGGCAAGCATGTGTTCAGGTGATATACAAGTATTCATGGGAGCCTAGGACCCCGGAGCCTTCAGTCTAATAGGCTCCCAGAGATAAAAGCTGAACTCATCTTTTATTGTCTCTGTGGGGTTTGAAGAGTTAACCTCATCAGCGCTGAGCTCTCTCACCAGGCAAGCTTGTACAGTGCTGCCAAGCATTTTGTCTGATTGTCTAGCTTGAATTTGAGGGGGAAATCGAAGACCAGGACTCAGAGCAAAGCTCTGTGAGTTGCCTTTGTCCAAGCTTCCATCATCTGTTTTAGTCACCTTCATGTGACAAAGAGACACCTATCCTTTTTTCTGCCAAGTAGTTTCCTTCTTTGGATGCCTTTATCAGTCTTATGGTCTTCTATAATTTCAGATAGAGGTTTCATGGGGCCCCAGTCTTTGATGGTCCATGAAAATCTACTCTGCTGATATTTGTGGTCTCTAGGCTCTGATCTTTCTGCCTCTCTGGACATCCAGTCTTTCTCCACTTCCCTTCTCCACCTACCCCTACATGTCAGTCAGTGTTCTTCACCTCTCTGTCTTTGGCCTCTTTGTCCCCTTACGGGCTTTCCTTAGGAGACACCCCCATGTGCATTGTCTGTCTGAGAGCTGTTGACATTTAAACCCTATCCATGCTCCCTCCTAGTTTCTTCCCCATACTTTCTGCTTTTCTTAACATCATCATCTGATGGTCCCAGGGGAATTCTCAAACTCAATATGCACCAAATATAAGGAACTCCTGTGTCACATCCCATCCCGTATCATGTCCCTCTCCGTCGCCACACTCTGCTCCATCCAGAGCCGGGGAACTCATTCCAGGATCTGCCCTTCACCTCCACATACCCTCTTCATGCTTCTTGACTCTATTTCCCTTCCCCAGGTCTCTATTATCTTTTTTTCTTCCTTGTCCTTATTCTGATAGCAACTGCCTCCCATCTGCTCTCATTGCCTCCAGACTTCTGCCTACTTAAGGTAAAAATTCAGATTCCTCTGAATTGAGAATTGAGAATTCTCTGAGAATCTTCGAAGGCCCATCATCACCAATAATCACTCCCTACCTCTCAGTCTGCTAAATAAGGCCTCATGTGACCTGAGACTTGGTATTGCCTCCCTGCCCCATTTCTCAGCACTTCTCAGAATTCACCTTGGGATGGTGTGACAAAGTAGCAAGCAGCTTTCTGTGCTGGCATGAGTTTTAGTTTTCCATCTCCTTCAGCGGAGAGTGTCTTTCCCACTCTTTTTAACTGGGCCCCTACTAAGTCATTTTTTTAAAAGAAGGAACCTAGACATCTGGGCAAGAAAGGGCTCCCATTGGCATCCTGAGCCTATCATCGCATAACACAGGAATGTCGTCTTTGGGGATCTTACTATTATTAGACTATACACTTGGCAGCATCTTGGTCTTCTTTGTCTCAGTGTCTCATGCAGCACCCTACAGAGAATAGATACCCTGATATATTGTTGACTAGAACATAACACCTTCAGAGAAGGGAATCTGACTTCACTATCCTTGGACTCCAAGCAGCACTTGACAAAAGTTTTATGAGTGAATGCTGGTGTGATGGACAGCCATGATGGTAGGAGAGTATGATCACACAGCTCCTCATGTGCCAGACAGTCTATCCCTGGGAGCTACATTCTGAGACAGAGGTTTGAAGGGATTAAACTCTCTGTTAAGGGAGCAATCTTCTAGGACTGCAGAAGATGGTAGGCCCTCCCATGAGCTATGCTGTGCTATTATTAATGAGAGGAACTATTAAGAATAAAGAGGATTATGGCAAAAGGAGGGAATTGGTTGTCATTGAGGGGGATACTGGGTTTTCCAAGTGTCTTCTTTTTGTATCTGGAGGAAAGCTCCTGATCCCACTTTCCACTTAGATGATCAGTACCCCCTTCTCAGGCTGCCACCCTCATGGTTTGTCTCTGTTTTTGCAAATGCAGCATTTGCAAAATGGTGAACAAAGCAACCAGGGACAACAAGAGAAGCCTCTGTTGATCCTAATGGGTCTCTAAACCTTAGAGGGTGGAGGACCCACATTTTGAACACCCACCTCTGGCTGATCAACCAGCAAAACCAGTCAGGCCAGTTGTAATGTATTATTAGAAAGCCCACACGCCAGTCCTTGGAACAACAGGGACACTTGTTTCATGTTGCCCATCCTAGGGACCTAAGCTTGAGTGATGGGGGAGGAGGGTGATGGTGGGAGTAGGATCGAGCATCTCATAGGCTTTCCAGAGTGAGACAGAGTGGGTTTAAAGCTGCCCCACCCCTCATACATATAGCTCCAGGCCTCGAACAAATGACCAGTTTCTCTGTGGTGACAATGAACCTTCACAAGGGGTAGTGAGATTCCAGATGCCACTACAAAGCATGAGTGTAAGGTGGGAGGAGGGGTGCTGTGCTCACAAATGCTCACCCCTGGCAGGGCACTTCCTGAAGACATTCACACAGGCTGGGATGTCTGGATGGAGACGGCTGCCATCTGTTGCCTCTCCAGGGTGCTGAGAAATCCCCAGCACAGTGAGGAGGCGCTGCCCAGACCCCCTCTGCTGATCCTGTGATGTCCCTGTCCCCCTCTTGCTGAACAGGAGTAAGGAGGTATTCTGTTTCATGGGAAAGAATTTTCTAGGCTGTCTGTGGAAAGTGATGCTCACTTGGTCTCTTTTTAGACTTTTCATTGTTAATCAATTTCTTCCTACCTTGCCCTTCTTTTCCTTTCTTTCCTTTTTATTTTTTTTTAAATCTGGAAAAGACACATAAAAATTGGAGGATTGGTCCTTCAAACAACCCTAGAATCAGCTTGCATGTCTTCCTGAAAAGTGTAATGAATTGGGACTGACATTGAAACATCATCTATTTCAAGGAAAGCAAAAGCTTCCATCTCTTTCCAATCAGAAAGGTAAATGATGTCCTGAGGGAAAGGCAACTGGGATATAGCTGAGGAGCAAAAGGTGGCTGATGAGCTTGCTTCTTCTTACTGTATTTTCTTTTCATTTCTGGGGTGTTAGGCAGCAATAAACACCAGGGTCTCCCCTCCAGGTTCTCCTAAGAAAGCAAGGGATCTCACCTTCAAGCCAGGTCTGGGGTAGCAATGTTGGTGTGAGTTGCTGGGTAGCACAGAGAAATTACACCTACAGAAAAGTCAAAGCACATTTGCCTGCATCCTCCTGAGGGCTGCAGAGGGTATCCTGTGTTAAACCTATAACCAGTCCCCGCTGGCCATCCTTTCTTTGCAGCTCGATGCCACTGGGTTTTAGCATGCCTGAACATCTCTATGAAGTCCCCAGCGTGTTACACATAGTTTTCAACCCACAGCTGCCCTAGTAGGGATGATAAAACCTTCCATGATAAACCACCAACCAGGGCCTTCCCTGAGTCTGAGCAGGTGCCTGAGAGGCTGGTGTGCTGTTGAATTTGATTAACCTCTTCTTGACCCATTGCTGGATCAGATAAGGGTGCAAGTGTAGCCCTGGAGCACAGCCCAGAAGTTCTCAGCACCTCCCAAAGACCCCATCCCTGTTTTTAATATGGAGACAGACAGACAGACAGACAGACAGACAGACAGACACACACACACACAGACAGACAGACAGACAGACAGACAGACAGACAGACAGACAGACAGACAGACAGACAGCTCCAGAAGATGATCTGCCCCAAGGAAGCCATGGTGAGGGAAGAGTTCCTTCCCACAGTGGGGCTGGTGAGTGGAGCTGCATGCGCTGCCCTCCTGGGTGTTGTGACTCACAAGGAATACCTGAGTGCTGGCTTTAAATAGTGCAGGCTGGGAGGGGTGTATGCAGCTGTGGATGGCTCAGGTATGAGGAAACAGCTCCATGAAGCCAAGGCTCAGGGATGCCTTTCCAGCCCCGACCTCGGGGCTTGAATTCAGACAGGTTTTAGCTTCCAACTGTATAAGGGAGAGCTAGCTAAGGGGATCCAAGCTCATGGTTGGTGGGAGGAGTTCCAGGAGGCTGCAGGTGAAATGGAAGTGCCCATTCCTGCTGGTGCTGACCTCAGATGTAGACTGGGTCACCCCATAGAGTCTCTCTCTCATGATTCTGGGTCCAGGCTGGTGTTGGCCTCTGACAGTAGACTGGGTTGTCGTTCTCTGCTAATGCCCCATCCCCCATATAGTCATTGTCACACATCTGATTCATGCTGGGGCACCGCAGAGAGGCTAGGTGAAGAGACAAAAACTCTATTATGTTACTGAAGATCTCTGACAAGGCCCAGCTGTGTAAGCAAATCTCTTCTGGTTTTCTTCTAGTGAGAGAGTGAGGGGCTCTCTCCCCAACCCCTCCCAGCCCCCCATTTCTTGTTGCTGTTCTAAGATTCCAGAGATATTGTGGATACACTGCATGGAAAATTGTTCAAGGTGAGTGGATTAGCATTTCGATTTTTCACTGCAAGGCAGACCCGTCTCCTCTCTCTCTCTCTCTCTCTCTCTCTCTCTCTCTCTCTCTCTCTCTCTCCCTCCCTCCCTCCCTCCCCCCCCCCGTGTGTGTGTGTGTGTGTGTGTGTGTGTGTGTGTCCTGTTTCTGAGATGATCTCACACTAGCCCTGGCCTTCTATGGTCATTCTAGATTGGACCAGGGGCTCTTGGAATCATCAAAAAGTAGGTATAAAGAGGAAGGACTGAGAGGCAAGAGGAGAGGACTTAAGAAGAAAAAATGTTTCACTGTGAACTGGTCTTTATGGTGAAGCACAGGCAGATCGATTTCCTGCATGGTTTCAAGATTTACTCCACCTTTCTCTAGCACATCTCTTACAGGGTTGGTGGGTTTAGGAGACGATTCACATGACTTCCTTCTCCCTAAAGTAAACTAAGAGCAATGATCTGGAACCTACGAAGTGTCCATGAAGATGGGTCCTTCTAGGGATTGGGAAGCTGAAGTCACAGGAGGCCATAGTTTCCCTAGATCTATACATTCTAGCCAAGGGCACAGAGCCCTAAAAGAGTTGTCTTGCCTCCTGCTCTCCTCCAGCCACAACATGCCATCACCAAGGGAAAGTCTAAGGAAGGCCCTGGAAGAAAGCAAGCAACCCAGTAGACTTCCTCTGAGAGAGGAAGTCACCAGGGGAGCAGCTTCTGGAAAGAGGCCACAGACCACACAGTGGACATTACCACAATAGGGATGGAAAGGTGAAAAAACATTCTGCCATTTCTGGAGAAGTAAGCTGACCTCACTCCAGTTATGGCTGGGAAACTGGAACAGTAAGCAAAATAAAGAAATGGGGAAGGGATTGGTGTGTGTGTGTGTGTGTGTGTGTGTGTGTGTGTGTGTGCACAGAGAGAAAGACAGAGAGACAGACAGAAGCTTTGATCCCTCTTCAGCACCTGAGAGACATAGCACTGTCACCCATGTCTCTGCTAATGCCCCAACTCTGCCCAGGTCATCTTCCTTTACTCTCTCATAAGAGATGGGCTTCTCTGTGTTTAAGTTCCCTGCCCATCCTTCACACAGAACGATGTCCCTAGAGTGTCCTCAACGGCTGCTCTGCTTCAGCTGCTCTGTATTTGAATACCCCAACATCCAAATCCTCGGCTCATGCCCCTTGAGTGATGTGCTGGAGGCTCCATGTCTCCTGAGGCCCACCCCATCGCCTCGGCTTGGGGTCTCCTCCATCCTTACAGTCTTCCTCTGCAGAGCTCTTTGACAGGTGGCTCACAACCACCTGTGACTTCAGTTCCAAAGACCTCTTCTGATGTCTGTGGGTTCATGCACACGAGTGGTGCATATACATACACTCTGGTACACATTCACACATGAAATAAAATAAATATGAATTAAAGTTTGGTTTACAAGTGCCATCGTTTCCAGAGGGAGCCCCTAGGGGGCATTTGACCCACTTCTGCAATGATGGTAAAATGCAGTCAGTGAGGCTATCTTCCTCCTGTGCGGTCACCTCTACCTAGCTTTCCAGATTTCCCTTCCCCCTTCTCACTCTGTGGACCAGGCATGCTCCCTGCTTTCTCTCTAGTGCCATACTTTCCCAGGCCACTCAACCTGGCTATAGGTTCATCTCTCTCCCTGGAATCTATCCCTCCCTTTTTCTTGTTTTATACAAATCTGTGGGAAACCTTCCCAACCCACTTCTACCTGGCAGGTTCTGTCTTCCCTGCCCCCACTCGACACTGGTGCTGACTTCTGAGGTTCTGAATTGTGACTGTTGACTTGTCTGTCTCCTCGACCAGTCACACCATAAGAATACAAAAGGTATCTTAACCGTCTTTGTATTTCACACTAACTTGAGGCATGCACAGAACAAACGATCATTAAATATTTGTTGAATAAACACATCTGCTCCTTTCAAAGCCATGGCACTGTTTCCTGTTTCTACATCTGTCTCATTGCTCGTCTGTGAGCTCCTGGAGGATAAAAACCGTCTTTTTCTTTGTCACCAGGGCCTAGCACCAACCCAGACATAAAAAGGACTGGGTAACACTTGATGGATGGGGAACAGGGAGTAGCTTGGGTTGTGATCAATCAAGCACTTCCTGGAGCTGTCTGCTGAGCTGGATTGACACAGTTAGAGGCAGAAGGGAGAACACGCTGCATTGGAAAAGAAGGAGCCAGTTAGGTTTGCGCACAAAAAGGGAAAGCAGAAGTAATTTGTTTTTTGAAATAAAATCAGTTTCCTTTTTATTGATCTTAGGGAAAGAAAATGACAGAGACAAATTTGATGCACATGGAATAAAAAAAAAAAAAGTCCTCTCATGAATTTTTAAGGTGATTTACACAGCTGGGCTTCAGACTTCTCACTGTGTATCATATGTCTTCCTGTGCACCAGGCTAAATGCCTCCTGAAATGGTGAATCCTGGTCATGACAGGAAGAGCATCCACAACTGTGTGAGGCTTCTATACTTCTCAACAAAAGACCCTGAGCTCACATGGTCCTTACCACAAATAACCCTGGGGAGGAGTTTTACAACTGGGGGAGACTAAGCCTCAGAGATGAGAGAGCTGCTCAAAGCCAACCAATTTGAGTTTCCCTAGGTCTTATTGCTGATGTGTATACATGAGATCATACTAACAAAAGTGACACAGATTTCAAAGTCCCTGAAGCTGCATCCTAAGACCAAATTTCAGCTCATCTACAAACTTTACCTTTCACAGAGTCAAGGTATTGCCTAACATTTTTCAGAAAGACTGGCAAGGATTTGCCTACCAAGGACCCTAGGAACATGCTTTCCTAGTGGTGCCTTTGAGCAATCCAGGCCTGCACTGATGCCCAGCCTCTGTGACATTAGCAGACATGACACAGGTAGAGTACATAAGCATTTGGGATGTCATTTCTGGCCGTTAGCACTCTTCTGCTGCTGTGTGAAAAGGGGGAAGTGTGATCGGCCGTTCCAGCTGAGACCCCTGGAACAACAGCCCCTGCTGACCCGACAGCTGATTTCAGCCACACAGATAACCACCCAGCTTGACCTGGATTACATAAAGGTGAACAAATAAAGGGCTGTGGTCTCAAGGTACCACATCTGGGGGTGGTTTGTTACTTGAACAATAGGCAATACACACTGTTCTTTCACCTGGCGCTGCTCCACGTTTCTCTTCGAAGTTTTCTGGTGCTACTTCCTGTGTCATTTCACCATTGCCAGGACACAGTAAGTCAACGCTAACATCTGTAGCAAAAAAAAAAAAAAAAAAAAAAAAAAAAAAAAAAAAAAAAAATAAAAAAAAATGCCTCTAAATGGAACCATCTCAATACAATATCACATATGCATGCCCATATACAGCCATGCTATGCATGTCTCGGGGTTTAAAAAAAAAGTTACTAAATCTGAATGCAGGAAAGCAATACAGAGGTTCCATGTTAGTTATTGTTTTGTGACAAACAGCTGAGAAAACCTGTAAAACAGGAAAGCTCTATCTTGGCTCATGTCTTTATGGTTCCAGTCCTAGATTGGCTGTCTCCGCTGCTTTCACCCTGAGTCAATGTGCCATATCATGGCTTTCAGATGTGGTGGCACAGAGAGGCTGGCCTCATGGCAGCCAGGAAGGAGAAGACAGTAATACCAAGGCATGGTAGACCCTTCCCAGGCATGCCTAGTGACTCTACTTCCTCCAGGCAGGCCATTCCCCTATAGTCTACTCTCTGAAATCACCTATGAATTAAGCCCTCAGTGAAGTTAGAGGCATCAGCAAGCTTCCAACACACAAACCTTCAGGAGGACTCTAATACATGAACCCTCAGCAGCCCAAAGCAAAAGCTATACCTTTTAAGACATTTTTCAGGCACTCTTCCATATATCAGTATAATTCAAGGCCGGTTCTAAAAATAATACCTTGTGGTTAGTAGGGTGTGGTAGTTCAAATGAGAAATGTTCCTCCACAGGCTTGGGTGTTTGAATAGTAGGCTCTCTGCTTGTTTGGGGAGGCTTAGGTAGTACAATCTTGCTGGTGGCAGTACATCACTGGGGACAGGCAGTGAGATTACACAGCCACACCCTACTTCCAGTTTGTTCTCTCTGCTTTGTTGCCTGCATTTAAAGCGGGGTGCTTTCAGCTTCCTGCATCTGCCACCGTGCCTGGACCATGCCTCTCCACCACACTGGACTCTTATCCCTCTGGAACTGGAAGCTCAAGTAAACGCTTTGTTCTATAGATTGCCTTGGTCACGATGTTTTATCACAGACTAGGACACAATGCTCCATTATTTTAAGACCGTTTGCTAGAGGAGACTTTTAAAATGTATTTTTGCCTCCCCCCTTTAAACTTTCTTTCTATTTATTCTTTGTGTCTTTCACATCATGCCTGCCAATCTCACCCACCCCCTAAATAAAACAAAATAAATTTAAGAGAAAAAAAAGGGGGGGAAGGATGAAGTGGAAAATCTCCTCATGGAAGCCTCAATGTGATTTAGTGAGCCCTGCAGTAACCCCTTTATCCATACATTTTTACACGCAGAAGTTCATTGCAAAGAATCATTGGTATGCTTCAAGGCGCCTGGGTCTCTGCTACACCACTGACACTGGGCCCTCACTGGGACTCTTTCTCGGCATCCTGTGGCTGCCCTGTATCATGGAGATCCTGCAGCCCTGGGTCCACAGGACCACCCCCCCCAACCCCACCCCTTTGCTCCAGCAAATCACAGATGGGGTGGATGTTGGAGTGGGCCAATACAGAACCCTGGTTCTGGGTCTGGATAGTTACAGGGTTGGTCAGCCCAGCAGCTCTCCCCCGTCTTCACCACCAGGGTGAGCTCTCCAGCATTGCCCTAGCTAGTTCACCCCTTGCAGCAAGGGCCAGTTCTCTGGCTTTCACATCCTCAGGGTTGTATCTCCCACATTACACCTTCCGGGCTAGCTCTACTGTGTTGCCCTGGCAAGGTGTAGGGCCACTGTCTCAAGTGCTGCAGGTGATGAG